ATGACTGCAATAAAGGGACTTACAGGAGAGAGTGATCAAGAGTAATGATGTGGAGGTGATACCTGGGGACAGCTTACCCTCTGTGTATGGCCTTTAGAGATTGGGGCTAACCCCTTGGGCTGTAAGAGGCTCAAGAATGGGAGGAGCCTCAATTTTCCCATTCCCTGCTTTCCTGTCATTCATTGTTTCTGGGTTGGGGAAACAGGAAATTGCTTCCAGCTCTTTGCCTCAGATCTCCTACCTCTTGTGGGGGGTTCCCAGGATGGTTCTTTTAACCAGCGACTGGCCTATCCTTAAAACTTGATGGAACTTTGATTTCAGGAAAGGTCCTGCCACTGCAGACTGCCTCTCCTAGTACCATGTGTGACAGAAGACACTCTCTTAGCCTTAGAGGCTGCTGCCCTTTATTTTTTTAGCTGCTTGATTCTTTACACCATCCATCCCCACAACAGCAGTCTTCCTAATAATGGAAGAATATATATAGGAAAAGACCTCCTAGGTTTTACTTTATACCTTATCCACATCTTGATTATCTTGGGGTTAAGGGTCAAGTCATTAATCTAAGGATTAAGGTGGGTGGGCCTTGGACACCTTTCTTAATCAGTAATCACTGATCACTGAATATGAAAGTCCCAGTTGAATTCTTGCCCTTAAATGCTTTTGCTGCTATTTCTTTGGGCCCCAACCAGGATTCTGCATCCTGAGACAGTCACATTCTACTAAATAGGCTAGGAATGCAGAGAAGAGTGAAAGGATGGAATTCCCAGACATTCCCTCCTCCTGCCCCTTTTCCTAGCAGCTCATACCAGATGTTAGCTACTGTACTTCTTTCTGAGGTAGGGAATGTGTGGTGGCTGAGTGATCTGTGTTCCTATTGCTCATGGGTTGGGTGATGAAGTGGGCTAAAAACCATACACTCCAGAATTGGTTGTATGTTTTCTCTTAGTGAAGTTCCCCCTCCCCTCCCCTGACTGCTGCTCTGTGTAATATGTGGGCCATTCATTTGTGATAGGCTATTTTTGCTCCTTCCAATATAGGTGCCTGGCCCTGCCCTTATTACAATTTTAGGAAGTCTAATCTGGGATATCCATGTTTCCAATGCTTGGGCTCCAACTAGAGACTGTTGTAAGTGGAATAGGCTCCACAGCTCAGTGATACATAGGAGATGGGGGAGGGGAGATATACTATTAGGGGTGTTTCCCTGGCCTCTGTTCCAGGCTGCAGTGAAGGATTTGGGGGTAAATATTGCTTCCCCTCCCTTGCCAGTCATTTAGAGTCTCCGGAATCCTGATCATATAAATTCTTGAATCAGTCAGATACAGTTATAGTCAATCACCTTTATTCCAGGGTTAGAACAAGGCCGTGCACACTACACATAGAGGAGCACAGGACGGAGCAGTCTCACAGTACAGAGGGTGGGAGGGCAGGTTAGTCTTTTTAGATTATTTTGCCTTACAGTCTAGAAATTACTAGACTGCTGAAAATGACCCTGTCTTCCTTCTCCCCATCTCATCCTCTCTAGTCAAAGGAAGGCTCCCTATTCTCATTCGTATTCATTCTCTCTCTCTCTTGCTCTCATATAACATACTCTTACTGGAAAGACAATTCATGCTCATTTCCCTTTCCCAATTCTACAAGTCTCTCTCTCTCCTTGAGGGAGAAGCCAGACAGGGATGGGGGAACTTGGGAAGGTCCTTTAAGGCAAAACTGGAGGTGTATGTGTTAAGGCAGGTGTCCGCAGCAGTAGCCAGAAGGGACAGGCAGGCTGGGCTGGGCTAGGAGTAGAGGGTGCTCTTCAACCAGTCTGGCTGCTTCTCTCTTCCAACAGCTAGCCCTCCCCTCCCATTAGAATTTTGCTCCCATATCCTAAAAGCTCCTAACTTAAACTTTCCCCAAATAGTCTCTTGAGACTGCATGTGAATTTAAAGTAAAAAGAAAAAGTTTTGTTCTATGTAGCAGTTTGACTCTGCCACTCCCTTCATTGTGGCATTCCCCTCCCACCCCTGCTCTGGCCTAGACAATAAGTTAATGCTAGACACCACAAAAACGGGCAGACATGGCAGTGTGGGTTTAATATACATATATGTAGAATATATATGTACACACAGTTAGCACGGTCAGGGTGGGGAGGAGCATCTTGGGACAGGCAGGAGGCTGGGGTCACTGTACTTGTAGTGATTTGGCTAGGATGCGTTCACAAGCCCAAGGCACCAGGACATTGAGGGAGAGGGGTTACCAAGTCCCTTCCTGGATTGAGTTGGGGGTCACTGCAAAGGAAAACACAGTAGTTCCTCCCTTATTTTGGGCTTGGGGTGTTCTAGACCAGGGGAAAAGGGAAAGTTTCCTACAATAACCACTCTGGGACTCTAGGTGGGGGCAGAATTGGAGTTAAAACCTAAGGATCTCATTCCCCAACCTCCTGAGGTTTGGGGTCAGTATGTGCAACAGTCTGAGTAGGAATAAAGAGTGGAAAAGGAGCCCCTCTTGCTGCCCCTCAGCCCCTTCTCAGGCTCAGTGGAGCATTTTCCCAGCACAGCCTCTCCAGAGCAGAGGTGGGTGGGGGGTATCTAATGCTGGGTGCTCTGTTGGGTTAGAACTTTGGGGCTAGGAAAGGATCCATGGTCCTGTCATTAGATCCTGGATCATACCCATCCAAGGGGAGCACAAAGGGACCTGCTGGTGCCTAGGCTCTTCAACCTGAGGAATAGCTGGAAACGACTCCACAGCCAGTCCAGCATGGGGACAAACACTGAACTCTGGCTTTTCTTTGCCCCTGCCAGGTGGGAGTTGGGTAGCCTCTTCATCTTCCCTCCCACTGCTTTTTATTGGATCAACCTGCCTCTCCTGTGTCTTTCTCCCACCTCAGCCCCTCAATGTAGGAAAATGCAGGTCCTTTCTGCTCTCACACTTGAGAGATGTGGGGGAAGAGTGCAGGAAGGGTAAGTAGGAGGAATGTGCCCATTTCTATATGCATAGTTTCCCTAGAGTGGGAAAGCTCGGCCCCCCCACCCCAGCCTCTGACCCCCAGCCCCTCACAAGGAAGAGGAGCTAGATGAGCTAGACATGTAGACAGACAGCCAGAGCGTGTGCACACACACACACGCACACAGTAAGGGGGTTAGGACCAGGTTAGTAAGTGGGTAGATTTGTGGGGGGGTGCCCTTGTCCCCTCCCCTGGAGGCTGGGGGAAGGGAGTGGTCCTATGAAGGTCCAACCTTCCTCCTCTTCCTCCCCCTTGCTCAGGCTTTCTTCGGTGGAGGAGCCAATTTGATGATCTCTTCCTCAGAGGGCTGCCGGATAATGTCTGGTGGCAAAAAGGGACATGTCCAGGGATGGAAGTTATGGGAGGCACCAGGCAGGTCCACCGAACATCAGCCTTCATGCTCCCAGAATCCAAGCAACTCCAAGGATGAGCCATGGGAGGGGAAGAAGTGCACAGTAAAGGCATGGCCTCTTACCTTTGTACTTCTTGGCACTGGGGATACGGGTTAGCTTGGTGTCCAGCTCATCCTCTTCAGAGATCTTCAGAACACGGGTTCTATAGTCAACCACCATAGTGAGTAGGTCAGGACGGCGAGAGATCTCAAAGATGTGCTCAATGTAGGAGAGGTTATCTGGAGCAAGGCAGGAAACAGGGTAGAATCAGCTTCCCCCGTTCTACCAGACCAGGCTTCTGGAACCAAGGCTGAGTTGCTCACACTGGTTATCAGAGGGGGCAGCAGAAGGAGAAGAGCCACTAAGCCAAGAAAAGAAAGCTTAAGGCGCCAGAGTGGTACAGATGACTGTTCCTGAGAAGGGCAGATCATCAATCAGTGAAGTTTCTAGATTACATATTTAGAATGAGGGGTTTAGGTTAAATATCACATCTGATGGGGAGGAAGACAAAATAGAAAAACTGGCCTTCCACATACTCCTCACCCACCCTTAGTCTCTTCCACTCTTCCTCCGAGTAAGTTTCAGAAAAAATTTCCTGATAACACAGGTATGATGGAGGAATAGAATCTCCAGACAACCCAGGACTACTGCGCCCAATAAGAAAAGCAATTATGGATGAGAGAAGGCACAGCCACGACCAGGGAATGATTTCCACGACTTGGCCAGTTCTAAGAGATCGCAGGCACCCTTAGACCTCCTTTCCCTGGCTCCTCCCCTCTGGCTACTGTAGTAGTAACATCTTCCTCAGTCTCCCAGCTATCCATGGTACTCAAGATCCAGGTCACTCACTTGACCTATCAAATACTCTATCACTCAAGGCCCTTCTAAGCATAACCTTAACCTTTCCAGTCCCTTCTATACATACTCTATGCCCCAGCAAGCAAAGCAGAGCCTCTTGCTTTTCCAAACACACCAGATACTCTCCCACCTCTATCACTAGGCTCCTTGGCCTAGCATGCCCTCCTTTGGATTCTGCCTTTGAAATCCCACTTGCCTTTCAGGGTCATCTTTATATACCAATTCCTCCCTAAAGCCCCTCCCACAGTAGTGGTCTCTAAAAGTGGATAAAAATCTTAGAATTTGTGGTTCTATTTTAAATTTTACCACTTTCAACTTATATTTTAATATTTTATTATATATAATAGCACACTCATATCTGAATCATGTTTTCTACCCACAGGGACATATTAAAGAATGTAAAGACCACGGCTCTAGAGCCCCTCCACTCTTAGAGCATCTTAATTTTGTCCTGCCTTGTCAGAGGGGAGTACACGGTTGTGTGTAGGAGCTCAAGTTCATTTCTATTGCTGAATGAACTGAGCCCCAGAAAGGCTGCTGGCAGGGTGCCCGTATCCCCTGCCCTACCTTTGTCCAGCTTGTTGTGGCTCTCCAGGAAGCTAAACCAGGCACTGCCCGTTGTGATCTCCTCACTCTTCTCACTGGGGATGTCCTCTTTGCAGGCTGATTTGAGCTGCTCCAGATCTTCAAGGGTGATGTTGTTGGTCAGATCCTGGAGGAGGGTCCCGTACTCAGCCATGACTGGGGTTGGGAGGAACAAAGGGAGAGGAGGCTAAGCTTGAAGTGTGGAATCTGGTTTACTCACCAGCACTTCCTACTCCCTCCCACCCTACCAGGCAAGTGCCTAGAACATGGAGGTTGGGGAGGGCCAGGGCTGAGAGAAGAAAAGACAGGAGGGGGGAGCAGACAGGAAGATATTCTGGAGCTAGGAACCAGGCTGGAGCCTGGAGAAGTTACACTGCTTCCCCCACACACACCATCTTTTTTCTTCATTTTACCCTTCTGACAGTAACCCTGGCAACAGCTCCCCAGACTGAGGAGGCGGTTACCATGGCAACCTGCGCTGGAGCTTCTCACCAGCTGCTTCCAAGTCCCCCCCAGAATCACCTCACCCACCTGCAACCCATAAAAAACACACAAACCAAAACAAAAACTCCAAAACAATGACCACAGGGATAGGCTTGCTGTGACAGTGAGAAGCTAAACAGAAGGGGCTGGAGATGGTTGGCTGGATCTGGTGGTCCAGCTTCCATTTTCCCCCAGAAGCAAAGGGGTCCCTCAACTCCCCACCACCCTATGAATGACTCATTTTGGATGGATGCCTGGTTGCTTGGTCTAATGGTTCCCTGACCCCTCTTTTGCTCAGCCCTGTATTCTGTCATTAGGGTTCAAGGTGTAGGCACGGGGAGGGGGGAAGCAACTGGCCACCCCCACCTTTTGTGGAGCTCATTTTCTCCCTTGATTGCTGCTGGTCCTCCACACAGCCCTCTCTCCTAGCCTTTGTGCTGTGCCTTCAGCCCCAGCGCCCAAGAATACCAAGCGGCTGGCTCTGGCCCCCTGCCCAGTTCCCAGGCTGGCTGGGTGGCAGGGGGAAGGGGTTTAGATGTATCACTGGGAGAGTGGCAGGAAGGGGGCTGCCATTCCTGCTTGCATCAACATCCGGCTGGCACAACCTTCAGCAAGGCCTCCCAAAAGGGGCTGGGCAAGGCTAGATCTCCTTAGCCTTTACCCACCCCTCTTCCATGAAGATCCGTGGGTGAAAGGTAGAGAACATTCAAGGCCCTCCTACTCACTAAGATAGGAACTGTGGATAAGACAGGAAGAAAGGTCAGACCTTACAATGAACTTTCTGGATTTGATAAAATGTGACTCTCAAAAAGGGGACTTTTCCCCCACAATGAGTATATATTTTATAATCAGAAAAGTAAAGCATTCTTAAAAGTAAATTGTCATAAACACTGGCTAGACCAAGGAGTGAGACGAAAATGACCTTGTACTTGACTGAGACCACCCACAAATCACACCAACAATGGGCTGAGAATGTGGCAGATTAAAGGGGGCTGGTTGACACCCCGTATTTTCCTTATTTCTGGCTTATATGCAGGGAAACTGAGGCACAGAGGCATGGCATACAGAAGTCCCTATTCCCAGCCCTCTACTTGCACCAGAACAAGCCTCCCTTGGTGGCAGGCAGTGTGGAACAAATACACAATGAGCCAGACAGCAGGGCCAGCACCACCCCCACAAGCAACAGGCACTTGGAGGCACACTTCCTTGCACACCCAGGTGCAACCAGACAGAAGGACCCAGCAGTGGCCCTGCCAGGCTGGGCCAGGAACAATGCTCTCTGACTGTCAGCACCAGGAACTCTCTCTGCTTTGAAATCTAGGTCACGGCAGCAGACTCGAGCCCAGCTGCCCCCTCCACTGATAATCCGAGGCTGAGGGCACAGGGACGAGGGAGGGCATCCAGGGATGAGATCAATGGAGGCAGGGGTGTGAGGGCTGAAAAGGAAGGGGCAGCACGGGAGGAGGCAGGATGCCCCCAAGGAGACCCTGCCCCAGTGGAGGAGGCAGTGGGACCAAGCCCTCAGCTGGAAGATGGGCCAGAATTTAGGGTCATCCTGCCTTGCTTTCACACGGAAGATCTGGTGGGAGGAAATGTGTGTGTGTATGAATCTCCTGGGAGGAGGTAAGGCTTGGGGCTGTGACTCTAAAACAGTTTTATAGGGAGGTGGGAGGGAAGGGATTAATGTGTGTAGATAATCACCCACATTGGTGGGTAGGAGCTTTCTAAGAGTGAAACAGATACAAGGAGAAATGGGGTGGGCATGTTGGAGTGGCAGAGGGAAGTGTGTGCACGCCAGGTGCCACTGTGGATGCCCACCCCTGGGTATGGGCACAGGTATGGGAGGAGGCAGTGCCTGGTTCAGTGGGGGGAGGTGTCTGAACCAGCTCAGAGTGTGTGTAAGGTGGAAGATAACCACAGGCTCACATCCAGAGAAAAGGAAGGGGTGACGGGATCCTACAGGAGGAAGAGCGCTGAGGCTGGGAGAGTCCAGGCTGCAAATGAGGAATCCTTGGGGGAGGGGGCAGGGAGCACGGAGTCCAGGAGAAGGTTGCTGCCTCAGCTCAGCAGTTACCATGGCAACCTCTGTTCTGGGTGCCTCTACCTCAGTCGTCAGGACAATGACACCAGTGGATGGGAGAGTGTGTGGGGAGTTGTAAGAACACACACGGACACAAAACAGGAGTAAGGCTCCTTGAGGGAGCAGGAAAAGGCAGCTGGGTTGCCTCCCTCCCTGGAGAGATCACATTTGAGGCAAGAACAGGATAGTTTGGGGGATGCAAGGAGGTGGAATCTCTTTCCATGGCTCTCAAGTCTCACTGATCATTGTCCCTGGGGTGGCCTGGCCATGCTGGGCCTTGGCAGAAGTTTGGCTCCTTCAGCCTCCATGTCACTTTCCTCACCAAGATTAAGAATCCCTAAGGGGCCTATGGCAAGCCTCCTGCCGCCTTGCTCTGAAGAGTCCTCCAGATCTCAGGAGCAGTGCAGAGGCTGCCCAGGGAACACCAGGCAGCCTGGGTGAGGCCATTCTTGGGACAGGATACCAGGGCAGGAACCGGGAACCGGAGCCGAGGCTGCCAGGAAGTCAGCCCCTTCCCTCCCAGATCATTCTGTGCTCTGCTCATGGCTTCCTCACACCTTCCTTCCTTCCTTCCTCCCTCTCCTTCCAAGCTGGCCCCAGGTGGAGCCCTGTCAAAGGTCCGACCAACTTAGGACACTGAAGCAGAGGGGAAGGGGTAAGAATCATTATATACTGACCTTTTAGGGGAGAAGTTGGGAGCATGACAGGTAGGCACTCACGGACACTGGGGGAGGAAGGAGCAGGCCTGGGGGCACTTGGAGAAGCCTGGCAAGGTGGCATAATGGCATAACCACCTGTGGAGGAGGTGGCAGTACCAAAGGAAGTTCTGTGCATTCTGACATTAATTCACGATTATCCCCTCTCCCGAGCATTTGCTTACAAATCCTCGATAAATTTAAGAAGAAAGCCTGAGGATTAGGAGCTGCTGCCCCTCCCTCACATCTGCAGCAGCTGTCTAGGGCTCGGGAGGGGCCATCCCACACAGCTGCAAGGACCTGGAGGTCCCTGCAGCGGGCAGAAAGGGGCTTGTAGGCATTCAAGTCTGCCAGTCTCGTGGGGGTGGGGGGTCGGTAATCAAGGAGAAGCAGAGGTGGGCAGAGTGCAGGGTTCCTATTTTAAATTTTACCTGGCCCCCAAATTCAAGCAGTTCTGTAGTTCATCCCTAATTACTTCATTAACATCATACTCATACTCAGCTGACTTCTTACCTCAGCTTCTATTCAGCTCTTGTGTATGTGTGGTGGTGGTAGGGGAGGGATCTTTATTCCTGCGATGAAAAACAGGGCTCTGAGACTCCAGAGTCGGCCTGGGAGTGACAGGAGGCAGGATACCTGGGTCTCTGGGTGTTCAGTTCAGTCCAAAATGGGTCACCCCTGGGCACAGGGACAGTGTGAAGCCCTTGGCCCTTAGTCTAAGAGAAGAAAGACGGAGATGAGGGTATCAGGAGATACTAGGTACTGGACCAGGCAGGGCAGAGTAGGACCACCTGATGGCGAGGAGGGGTGGGGCCTGTGCCCCTCCTCTGGTTGTGTCTCTTCCTCCTTTCCTTTCAGGGGCTTTCATTCTATCCCACTTGGTGGTACCCATGAATACTTAGGACTCCCAGGTTCTGTGACTCAGTGTCCCCATCTGGATACTCAGAGCTACTATTCTGTTGGGAAGGAGTAGCTTCCCTGCTGTAGAGACAGAGAAGGTCTGGTGAGGAGGAGCCTGGATTGTTGGCTGCATAGGGATTGAGGATGCCCACTGCACTGTGCGTGAGGATCTGCGTGACAGGGAGGAGGGCAGGGCAAGGCATGGCAACACATGCACACATGATGGGCACAGGTGTCAGGGAAGTGAGAAAGTAGGCAATGAGGGCTGTAGGTAGCCTAGGGCATATCTGGCAATTTCCCCAACACAATGTTTAACCACAAAGGGAAGAACAATTAACGCTAATCGCTCTGACAGCCTGGGGCCAGACAGAGAAACAAAACACGCAGACTCAGCATGTTTCCCCCACTCCCTGTGGCCTCGCGTCTCACCACATCTCACCATCATCCCGCTTTCCTCCGCTGGTTTCTGAGCCTCCGTCATCCATACCCCGGCACTCCTCCCGCTTTTCTGACTCTGTCCTTCACTTCCTCCCAGTTTCCTGACTGTGTCTCGGTCCCTCACACACATTCCCTTCATTCTCTCTCTCTGACTCGGGCTCCGTCCTTGGCTGACTCATACTCATTCTTTCCTTTTCTCTCTCCGCTTTGCTTCCACTCCTCCAACCCTTGGCCACTCCGGGGCCCCCAAAGCAGCCACTCCCAGAACCCCAGGCTCTAACTGTAACCAGCAGCGCCCACTCTCCCCGCTCGCTGGGGTTCAGAGCACCGGGCGCACTCACCCTCAAGTTCCCGTCTCCCAGTCCTGGAATAAAAACTGTTCCCCGCCTTTTCCCACTGCCTTAAAGAGGGGCAATCTGAAGCCCAGGGCGGGAGAAGATGACCAGAAAATCGGGGTGGCTTGGGGGCGGGGTCCCGCGCTCGGCCGTCCTGCTGGGCTAACGTCCCCGCAGGGGCGCGGAGAGCGGGGCGCGGCGGGGCCGGCCGCGTGGGCAGGGGCGCGTGTGAGCTGCTGGTGCGCGACGTGTAGCAGTCACACGGGTGTGTGTCACCGTGTGTGCC